CATGTCAAGCAAGTCAATCTTCATGCCCTTCCCCGTGGTCCATCGCGTCGCCGAGTGAGCTTTCCATCCGAGTCGTCAAAGGAGTAGCTGCACCGCTCTCGCGGGGTCAGCCACTTCCCCCCATGTGGTGGAGCTGGTCAGTACCCTGGCCTGCGTGTCCCAGGCCTTCTCGAGGATGTGTAGTGTGTAGTGGCACCTGTCGCCCGTGTACCATCTGCGCCCACGTGTGAAGATAACCCGTCATGGCCATGCTGTCAGGCATCTGGTGCGAGGCCTCCTCCAGCGACGATGCCAACCGCGTCGACGATGCCTTTGGGGTCTTGGCCCAGCCTGTGCGCGCCACGTTCGTCATCGTGGCCAACATTGATGGCGGGGCTCCGACCGCGTGGATTCCGTGCGCCATGCCTGGCGCCAGTGCGGGACGCGCAACTCTTCGGGCGATCCGCGCCAGTCCTCGGAGCTTCCGGAACCTGGGGACGGGGGGGGGCGCTCCTTGACTTTACGGGCCCCCCTGTGGATCGCCGGATATGTGAGTCGAGCGCCCGCGCGACATTCCAGCCCCAAGACAATGAGCTGCCGCGCCGCCTCGAAGCCGAACGCGCGGAGTCGTCGCGCCACTTGCTCAGCCAGCCACAGCGAGGAGCGCAGGATATTGGCCCTATCTCTGGCAACCGGGAGCTCCAACGCCACCGAGACCGTGGCCAGCCTCGCGATGACAGCGGTCGCCAGCTCTACCATCTCGGTCGAGTGGGACATGATCTGCAGCGCGATGTCGCCCACGTAGATGTCCAGAGTGATCTTGAGGCCACGCAGCGAGGCGCTGAAGACATCGAATGGCATCATCATGGTCAGTTCGAGAAGGTGCATCGCTACCGTGCAGCCTGCGGCGCTCCCGCCATGGTGCGCACTGCGCGTGAGTAGGCCGCCCCCAACGAATCCTTCTGGGTGCCACGTACATGGAGAGCGCCGCTTTGATGATGCCCGTCGGGAAGCCGTAGTGTTGGGCCGCGCGAGTGATCTTGATCCACATGGCCCTGTCGAAGCAGTTGCTGATGTCCACCAGCGTCGTGATGACGGCGTCGCCGTCTGTGGCATTCTTCGCCTCGACGTATACCATGGTGCGAGCCCCCGCATCAATGGTCGATCTTCCAGCTCCCAAGGCGAAATAGGGCCCCTCATGGGCCGCCATCCGTCGTTTCATGTGGCCTACGCGCACATTGGTATAGACCCTGTAGATGAAGGGGGGCAGGGCAATTGGGCGGAAGCCGCCCTGTGCCTTCGTGAGGAACATCACGTGCACAGCCATGATGGGGGATGGCCAACGTTCCAGCGCCTCCGAAGCTCGCAATATGTATAGCACCATGGCAAGCGCCTCGTCGGACAGGATGGAGTCAGCGCGAGGGGCAACGGCGTCCGCGCCCAGGCCCGTCCTCCAAACAAACGTCTTCGCGGCCGCTCGCACCTCGCTGATCGTCGGGACCAAGGGGGAGGGGGGGGGGGGGGGGCATCCCTCGGGAGGCTGCGGATGAGCTCGGGGATCTCGCCGTCCATGTCGATGAGGTGCTCGATTTCGTAATCGTTGGTGGTGACCTTATCGATGTTATCCTGCGCGTCCGCAACGACTATGCTCTGGTCTGGCTTCTGCGAAATCACGGTGCCCTTCCAGATGTCGTTCCAGAAGTCCATATGATTGTCCGCCGCCGCCTGAGGTAGTGCCGTGCGGATGCCAAGCCTGTCCAGCTCATTGTGTGCACAACCATTCAGCTTCGTCATGCCGAAGACTGGTGACGCGCCAGTGGTCATGGCGCCCTGGGCCCACTTGTGGAAGCTGACGGCGCGGCGCTTGGCAGCCTCCCTCTCCAGGTGCTCCGGGTGGTCGTCGACCGTGGCCGCGCGTGCGGTGGCGAGCGCGGCGTAGTGGTGGTTCGTCTGCGTGACCGCGTGGTGGATCAGGCACCAGGCCGACTCAGACAGTGGCGCGCCCTCGTCCGTATGGATGTCCTGTCGGTGGCAAGGTCGCAGCGCCCTCGTCTCCCGTGCCCATCGGGCTCGAGAGTCGCCCGCGCGCGCGACCGAATGGACCGCGTCGTGGAGCGCGAGGGCCAGGTTGCGAATGCAACGTGCCTCCGCGCCCGCAGCGGGCCTCCCTGGTCGAAGTGCTGGCCCCCCGACTGGACGCCGGACGCGCGCGGGTCGAACTGCCCTGCCGCTGTAGCGCTCCGCGCCCTGCAGCTGGTAGATGTGGCAGAGGTCCTGCTCCGCAAAGGTCGTGAACGTAGCGTGCGTCGCGTCCGACCGCTGCTGGGCGTCATCTGCGCCTTGGGGGCGTCTCCGCCTGGAGTCCGCCTGCGCGACCTCAACATGTGGATTCGGCGCCGGTGTCCCTGTCAGCGAGCTGGCGCCTGCGGAGCGCGGCGACTGCCGCGGGAAGGCCTTGGGCGCTCGAAGATGTAGCTGGAGGCGCCTTCGAGGCCTAGCAGCAGGCCCCATTCGAGCAGGGTGGTGCGGCTCGGGCGTCCACTCATCCAGAACGCGGGGGGCCTCACAGGCCATCGCCAAGTCGGGCGAGACGAGCCGTTAGTCAATGGTGCTGAAGTTGCCAGTGGTGGCTGCCCTGCAGGTACCTGACGGGGGGTGACTGCGATGGCTGGCATCACCTGCACGAAGCCGAGCTCCTCCAGGAGGCTGGGCTCAGCATTCCAGTCGGTCGCGAAGATGTACGGGGCCGAGAAGTAGCGCATGGCCATCGCGATGCGCATCAGCTTCTGATAGTTCGTGCTGAGGTAGTTGTGGCCACCGACGGACTCCATGGAGGCTGGGCCCACAATGACGCCTCCTGGTGGCCCGACATGTACGTGTATTGCAACCGTCCACTAGCGCAAGATCTCAAACTGTCAATGATGCCCCCCGTGGGACTACGTAAAATAGTCCCCACATGCTTCCTGACGAAGTTCCCGACTCCTGCACTCGGTAGCTTGGACGCAAGGCGTCGACATTGACTGATGAATGGCTGCCATCCGTGTCGCAGCGCCCACGTGCGAGCATGATCCAATCTTTCACCATTTAATCGGAGTTCCTGGCGCGCGACCACGAGAGCATCCCCTGCCCTTTCAAGCAACAGCTGCTGGCACGTCGTCCAGCACGACCCATTGAAGGTGATCGCTCCCGTTGCCGAGCGCCGTGCTCCGCGTGGTCCTCTGCGTCTAGTTGATCTCCCATGCTGCTCCGTCCGAGCTGGCGGGCACATCTGGGAAGCTGGCTCCTGCTGCTGCTGCTGCTGCTGCCCCACCCGCTGCGGCTGCTGAGGCTGGGGTGGGGTTCGCGGGCGCTGCTGTGGCCTCTGCTGCGTGCGAGGCCCTGGCGCCAGCAGGCTGCCCGCCTGCGGCGCGAAAAGCGGCACTTTGCGGGGGAACTGCATCGCCCAGCCTGTTGATGTGGTCCGCCACGGTGTCCAGGATGGCCCCTCCGACCATGTTGCGGTCCTGGCCCGCACTGATGGAGCCCCTGGCGCCCTGGAGAATCTGCTGCAGGGAGGCGATCTCGTTGGCGGCCTCCACCAAACCTGGGGCCGTTGTGGGTCCCAGCGTGAGCCTGGCCTGGGCGACCTCCGCATTGTCAGCCACGAGCTGCTGGTTCGCCACGGCCAGCTTGGCGCTCGTGTCGTCAAGCTTCGACCTGAGGTCCCTGGCGGTGGACTCCCCGCGTTCGGCCTCCCGCTTGCAGATGTTCTGGCGCGCAAGTGCGGATCGGATAACGTGCTCTGGGGCCATCTGTGCTCGTTCCTGCTGCTCGGCCTTGGCCAGCTCATCGCGTCCCATGGCCACGATGGGGTGCTGCTCCTCGTATATGCGACGCAGTCCAGAAAGCGCCTTCCTGCATCCGATCACGTCGCTGTCGCCTGACCTGCCGATGTCCATGCCGTCGGTTGCGGCTCCAGGCTCATCACCAGCAGCAGCACGAGGGCGAGAGCTACGGCGCGCGCCACTGGACCTTGGGCGGCTGCCGCGGGCTCCCTGGCCGCCCGTGGGTCTGCCCTGGCGGTCGCGCCCGCACGCCTAGCACGTCTGCCTGCTGGTGAGGTCGGACGCGAAGCCGCAGGCATGTGTGGCCGCGCAGGAGGAGGAACAGGAGGAGGAGGAACAGGAGGAGGAAGAGGAGGAGGAGGAAGAGGAGGGATGAGGGAGGAGGGAGGAGAAGGAGGGAGGAGGAGGAGGAGAAATAGGAGGAGAAGGAGAGACCAATGTAAGCCTAATACACATCAGCGATGGTACAGTAAACCAGCCTTCCCTCCAAGTTCCCTCTTTATAGGTCCCTACAAATGTTAATATTTACTAAGGGACGTGCCAGAACACAATCCCTGGTGCTTCGACGCCGCGGATCAACGCTACTGTTGCGTCCTGACGATCCTGAACCGTGCCAGAAACCTACTCTTGGGACTTCAACACCACGGGCCAACGTAGCTGTTGCGCCGTGTAGTTGTTGCGCCAATCCTGGGACGTCAACCATAAGAACCCTTGCTTGACAGTTCTGTACGCTCTTAAGACGCCTGTGCGCGGCGCTAGGGCGAAAACCACAATTTGAAAACGACCCGCCCTCCATCCACGAAGCTCTTGCAAGCTTTTCAAACGAATGTGCGTAAGGCTAAGGCGACTACGCTCTGAAAACGGCCCGCCCTCCATCCGTGAACTCTTGCGAGCGTTTTGAAAAGAATGTGCGCTGTGCCAAAGCGAGAACCACACTTTGAAAACGGCCCGCCCTCCAGTCGTCACGCTTTCAGCCTCATGATCATCAGCGGTGGGGAAATCTCGGGCGAAGCGCCTGGCCCACCCTACCGACACGTCTCGGGGTGCGACAGGGCCGGCTTTTTCATAAGGAGAGTGAAGGGGCCCTGGGACACACACACACAAATAGACACAGATACAAGGATCCCCAATCTTTTCCAATCTTTTTGGGCTTTTTGTCTTCCCCCCCCCCTCCCCTATTTTCCCATATTTTCGGGG